TCCCTCCTCTCCCTCCTCTCCCTCCTCTCCCTCCTCTCCCTCCTCTCCCTCCTCTCCCTCCTCTCCCTCCTTTATACGCGTGCACCTGCACAGGTGTGAGCCCTTGCACACTCAGCACCGCACTTGCCGTGGCCTGGCAGCAGCTGTGCACACAGCGTTGCACTTCCACGTGGTGTTGCACGGCGGTGCACACGCAGCACTGCGCTCGCACGTAGCATTGCACAGCTCTGTTTGTGCCCTTGCACAGCTGTGCACAGCCCACCCCTTACACACCTACACCCCATCCTGCACGCGCACGTGGGTGTGCGCAGCCTTGCACACGCAAACACCCGGCGCGCAGCTCTGCCGTGCAGGAGGAAGGGAAACCCAGCAGCGCGGGGATGCCCTGCAGCCTCTCCTTCCTCTTTGCGGGGGGCGACGAGTTCGGTGCCGCCTCCGTTCCCATCGCTCCGATCCCGCGCTGCCCGGACCGCCCCGACCCGCTCGCACCGCCGCTGCCCGGAGCGGTGCCGGTTCCACCGGCCGGTCTCTGCGTCACGGCGCTGCTCCCGCCCGTTCCTCGCTTTCCCCACCTGCAGCAGCTTCGTTTCCCCGCGGCGTTCCCCCGCCCTGGGGAAGGTGACGGGGAGGGGAAGGCCGTGGGGATGCGCGTCAGCGCCCGCCCCGCTCCGCTTCCTCCGCTCCCGTCGGGAGAGGCCCTTCGGCTCCCCGGGTGGAAAATGCCGGGCCGAGGGACGGCGGAGTTCCGGGTACGGGGCAGGAAGGCGGGGGTTGGGAGCGCTGCGGTCCCACGGTGGGACCCGACGGAGCTCCGCACGGCGCCGCCCGCGCACGGATGCGGGGATGGAGGCGGGCGGACGGCGGGGCTGCGGCGCGGGGATGGGGGCACCGCGGGTCGGGTCGGCTGCCCGTCCGCTCCGTCCTCACCCCGCCCAGGGGGGGCTGCAGCGCCCTTCCCCTCCTTCCCCCTTCCTCGGGACACCGCGGGCATCCGGGGAGGGAGCGGGCTGTGATCCGCGTGGCCGTCATTTGGGGAGGGGGCGGCCGAGCCGCGTCCCCCCGCTGGGACAATGGGGACAATGGCCGCTGACCCTGGGGACGTGGGGCGGGACGCAGAGCCGTGGCACGGCGCAGGAGCAGCAGCACAGCAGCAAGCATTACCCAGCCGGTCAGCGCCTCCCCCCGCACCGCAGCACCGGGGGGGTCTCGCCGGGCCGGGTGAGGAAGTGGCTCCGCTTCCCGCAGGGCGCTGCTGCGTCGCTCCGGGCGCCCGCTGCCAACCGCGGCCCTGACGTCATTTCGGGGAGCGAGAGCCCCGGGGCCGCCCCCTCCCCACCCCTTAACAACCCCCCCGCACCCCCGGCCCGCACCGCTCACGCCAAATTTGGCAACGGGAAGAGCCGCCGCTCGCCGCCCTGCAGCAAATGGCAGCGGCCTTAAAAGGCAATCCCTGCCCGGGCAGGCACACGCGGGGACACACACACACACACACACACGTGTGCATGCTCACATCTGCTGTCCGCGTGCACACGCGTGTGAGCAGGGGTTGCAAGCGGGCAGCGATGCGTGGGCACGTGTGTGCAAGCAGCTCCTGGCGGACTTGGGACCCCCCACAGTGGGGGGGTTCCTCTTTCAGACTCCCTTCCTACAGCCTGGGTCTGGCTCAGTGGGTTCGGGGGTCCCTTGGAGCCATGGGTGTGGGATGGGCATGGGACAGGGCTGGCCCCAAAGTATGGCACAGGCATGGTATTGTAGGCATGGTGTGGTACAGCATGGTGTGGTGCAGCACGGCATGGCATGGCACAGCCTGGCTCACCCTGTAAGGCTCACTGTCTGTGGGAGCTGTCTGTGTCTGCAGCATGGCAGGAGACAAGCTGGGACACGGGGACATCATCGCACCGCCCGGTGACATCACTGCGCCCAGGGCCGACTGACGCAGCTGATAACATGGAGGGGTCCTGGGATGGGTGGGGGTGGCTGGGCAGGAGGTGTCCCTGCACCTGGGGAGGCCCCGCACCCTGCTTTGCTCACAGCCTCCTCACTGCTCTGCACTGTCCCATCTCCCCACTCCCTGCCTGCCCCAGGCCAGGCCCACGCCGGGCGGCTGCGCTCGTCCCACTCCTCCCAGGATGAAGTAATGCGGCAGCGCCGGCGTCGCTGCTTTGGTGTGGTGTGGGCTGCAAGGGGAGCAGGGCTGTCATCATCCTGTGTGTGTGTGTGCGTGTGCAGCTGTGCACGTGTGTGTGTGTGTGTGTGTGTGTGTGTGCACACCCAGGGCAGGTGTGCACAGAGGGGCTGTTTGCAGATGGGGTGCGTTTGGCTGCGTGCACGGGAGGGGGATGTTTGTGCGTGCAGCACCTGCAGGGGGGGGGACTGTGCATCACCCAGATGGGGCGGTGCCCCTCTCCAGCACCCCGGGGTGCAGCCCACAGCTGCTGAGCACAGCAAACCCCACACTGGGCCTCAGCCGCCGGCTCGGGGCAAATATTTGCCTTCAGTCTTAAAGTGCAGCACAGGGTGACCCTGACCTGCCCAGCGCTGCGGTGCCAAAAGCAGAGGGCTGGTGGGTGCGGGCGGGTTGGACCCGATGCCCCCCAGTGCTGCCAGCACAGCCCCCGCAGCGCAGGGTGCGTCGGGCAACACCCACCGTGGTGAGAACTGCGGTGCCGCAGCCCTCCCGTCACACCCGTGGGGCCGACGTGCACCCACAGCCACAGCCCTGCTGCGTGCCAACCCGCTCCTTGCACACACAGCCCCTTGCACAACCTGCTCCTTGCACACCAGCCTCCCGCGCCCAGCACCCCCACGCTTGCACGCAGGGGTTTGTGCATGCGTGCAATCAAGCCGCTGCACACAAACACGTGTGCACAGCACGTCTGCACGCTCGCCCCGTTGCTGCACGTGCCGTGCGCCGAGTCTCCCCTGGGGTCGGACCCCCATCCCAGGTGGTGCTGCCACATCGGGCACCCGGCGGTGGCTGCTGGCGAGAGACGGCGCTGGCGCGGCTGTGCCAGACACCGGGTGGGCGATGCGCTGCCGGCGTGTCCTTGGCAGGAGCCAGGAACACAGCCAGGAACACAGCGTCTGCCGGCAGCAGCGGGGTCCCACTGTGCTCCCGGAGGCCAACCCAAACCCCCACGTGGGGCTGCGGGCGGCCTCCAACCGGAGGGCACCCATGGGTGCAGCCTGACCCGACTCCTCGCCTCGCGGATGGCTTTGACGCGCGCAGCCCCCCCACACACGTGGTTCTCGGTGCAGCCGTGGGCTCAGCCCCTCCGTGGGGCCCCATGGCTGTGGGGCACGGCGTGGGGCTGCGGCCTTGCAGCCCCAGTGTGGGGAGCGGAGGCGGCCGGGGGAGCCGGGGCGGGAACTGCCGGCGCAGGGACGGGATCCTGGAATTAAAAACATTCCAGGAACTGACTTTGAACCAGATAAAATAACAAGCGCCGCAAGGAATGTCTCACCCCACCCCCCCCCGGCCGGCCGGCGGCCTCCAGCCCGCCCCAGCCCCACACCGCTCCCAGCCCCACACCGCTCCCAGCCCCACACCGCTCCCAGCCCGTCCCCACAGCACTCACCCAAACCACCCGCAGCCGCCCTCCACCCCACACGTGTCCCAGGGGGCCCTTTGCACGCGTGTGCACACGGAAACGCGGCCAACTTGCATGTTTGTGCGTGCAATGCGTGTGTGTGCACGGAGAGGGGGCACGCTGCAAGCAGCGACGGATGCACGGCTGTGCCACAACCACACACACGTGTGCAGGCAGCTCTGCACAC